GTCCCAGTCCCAGGGGCTACCTGGCAGTGTCACGCAGAGCAGCAGGAACGTCAGGCTGTTCCCCTCCAGCAGTCGCTCCATGATCCAGGGCAGACAGCTCGTGTCAAGCAGGGGGTGGCCGGTGGCTGGTGCCCTGTGTGTGGGATGAGAGACACACCGGGAGAGGGATAACCCACACAGCTGGGCCAGCTGAGCCCTGACCCACGAGAGTCCGAGGATGGGGTTAGCCACGCTGGGAGGTGGTAGCCACCTGAGGGGCAGTAGTAACCCCTTGGCTCCTAGCCATGGGCTCCCATTGAGGTGTCCGGGTCCCTCCTGCTTCACCTCTGGGTCTCCCCAGCCCCATGGTAGCACCACAGGGATGCCGAAGCGAGGACCCGGCTCAGCCCCGGTGCAGAGCTGCAGCTCTGGTACGTACGGCTCGGGGCAGGGTCCAACGGCACCGGGGGATGCCAGGATCCTGAGAGCCGAGCGCCGGCACCTGCCGCCTTCCAGCTCCCGCTCCACGGTGAGAGTGAAGAGGCTGCCGGCTCTGGGGAGAGGCTGGTGCGTGAGCGGGGCTGCAGCAGTGCCTGGAGCCGGCCCCAGCACCCAATCCTTCCCAACCCTGCGGCATATCGGCTGAGTCCCTCACCCCTGCATGGCTGAGCGCCCGTCTGCGGGGGGCTGCAACGCCGGCACGGCACCCAGCCCCCAGGCGTAGACACTGATGGCAGTTTGGGCATCGGGCACAGCGATTTCCATTGCCTCCTCCACCACCCTGGAAGCAGAGGGAGATAAAAGCCAGCGAGGAGGGTCAATCCACCCACCCTGAGGGACACCCCTGGCTGTCTTCTGGCTGAGCACCGTGCTCCCTGCCCAGCCCCACGCCCGGTGTTGGGGTAACAGCCCCCCGAGGGGTAGCTGCCCGACCACGGGGCATCAGGTACCTACAGGCCCAGGGGTGCAACATCCATCACTTGCAGGGCTCGGCCGTCAGGACGGAGCAGATCCCAGGCTTTGTCGTGCGTGCTGACCTGCAATGGGGGTCTGTTAGGTTGGGGAGGGGCACAGAAAGCGGGGGCTGCTGACATCCCACACCCACCCAGGTTGCTTGTGGCCATGCAGAGGCAGGGGCTGGGAAAGAAGAGATTTTGGGGTCACTTCCAGCTTTTCCAGCCCAGGGCCAGGGAAAGGCCGAGCCCTGGGAATGTCTGAGCCCTGCATGGAGCTTGGAGGTCCCCAGCAGCATCCCAGAGCCAAAGGGCTCGGCCTGGTGGAAGGAGCTGGTATCCCTCCTGTGCCACCCAGGCACATGCTGGAGGGACCCCCAGGTGACAGGGAGCAGTGGCTGGCAGGAAAAGCCCAGCCACACGGTGGGCAGGAAGGTGTTATAGGGCTCCCCAGCTCCCTCTTCCCACCATGCTGCTGGAGCCTGGGAGACCCCGCCATGGGCAGCCCAGGCTTCCCACACCTGGGAGTTCCTGCAAAGAGGTGAGAAAACCTGGGATCTGAAGGTATCTGGCTCCCGGTCACCCTGCAGCATAGGGGACTGTATGCCAGTACTGGGGCAACACATGCCCCTTGGCACAGCAGGGTCCAGCCGGTGGCAGAGGGGGAACAAGACCCCCCACCCCAGCTTTTCCTGCCC